CCCAGCTAATTTTTTGATTTATTGTAGAGATGAGGTCTTGCCAAGTTGCCCAGGCTGGTCTCAAACCCATGGGCTCAGCAATCTTTTCACTTTGACCTCCCTTAGTGCTGGGATTACGGGCATAAGCACCAGGCCCGGCCTCCTCTTAACTTTTAAATCATTTGCTATTTTGTTCTAGTTATTAAAATACTACAGTAAATGAAACATGTTTATTGAACCAACTCCATTGTTTTTTTTAAAAAGTCATTTAATGTGAGCAATCAAGAAAAAAATACAATTATCTAAAAACATTTTACTCCTATATATAAATACACATTCATTTGTCAATCTTTTCACAAGAGGCCAAGGTCTTTTCTTTCACTATGGGCCAACTCATTGGAGTTCATCATCTGTCTTACAGAAATCATATCAAATCTCTACAATTTCTTATTTCCTTTTCTTAAAAATGAAACAAGAACTTAAAGAACTTGAATATACTTGCAGAACAACCTGTGCGTAGAATATTTTTAGAGTTTTACAATGTGTCATATAATTTAACATTGATCTCATGCACAACTTCATTTAGTGATAACTTTTTGCAAAGATTTACCTTATCTATACTTTCATGGAAAACAACAACTTTCTTTTCACACTGATATTTCATTAGTTTATATAATACTTAATTAAATTACATCATTACAATTGAAAGCATAACCAACATAACAGGTTTGTGTACAAATACAATTAGCTCTTGATGAGCTTAGAACCTAACTGGTGGGAAGAGAATACCCATGCCAGTGGGTAGCCTATCTGCTCTAATATTCAGGGTGCCATGGGTATCAGCAGTATGCCATACAGAGGATAGAGACCTTGGTTAATTTATTGAATCAGTTATCTAGAGGTCGGTTTTTAAATATTTCTATTGTACTTGATAGTGTTAGTTAGCAATTTACCATATACAATTTTTTTCTTATGTGGCAAGACTGTAAATTAACTTCTAAATGAAATGAACCATGTTATGGATGTATGTCACATTCCCCGGAGGTACCAGCCAGGGGTTGTAAACATCAGCAAAAACCACCTGTTAGGGAACTCCCAAGGTCTGAGAGCCAAGTCTTGGTGGAAGGTGACCCCAGCTCTCCTCCTTACTACTATATGATCCCGGGAAGGACAACTGAATTTGTACTCTATGTAAGGATAGTAATTCCTACACAAAGGCTCTTCTAAGCAATGGAGGTATTTTAAAAGCTTCCAAAACCCATACAGGCATTGGATACATTTTTGTCCTCTCTTCTTCCCTTCCTCTCCCAATACATGGGGCAATGAATAAGTGAGTTAGCGAAGAAATAGCGAACAAATGAACATACCCATAAGGATTGTTGAACGCAATGGCGTAAACCACGTTCCTGTGGCCCTCCAGGGTGTGCAGCTCCTCTCCTGACGCAGTGTCCCAGAGCTTACATGTCCGGTCATAGCTTCCTGTGATAAAGCTAACACAGGAAGACTAACATGTCATAGGGGGCGGATGGCAGTGTGTTAATAAAAACTTCATTTTTCACCTGGAGAATAACAACTTCATTTGTTTGGCTTTTGATAATGGAAATCATGTATGCAGAACAAACAGTCCAATTCAGAAGAATATCTAAATCCTTTGATTTAGAAACTTACCAATTTTATCCAAAAATAAGGCAATAAATAAAAGTAAATCTTGTTAATAATTGCATTTGTATAAAATATACAATTAAATAATGTGTATAATAATCAACAACATTTTCTGAAACTAATGTGTCTCAAAAAGGGCTGGGCATGGTAGCTCACACCTGTAACCCCAGCACTTTGGGAGGCCAAGGTGGTAGGATTGCTTGAGCCCAGAAGTTGGAGACCAGTCTGGGCAACATAGCAAAGTCTCATCTCTACAAAAAAAAAAAAAAAAAAAATTAAAATCAGCTGGTGTGGTGACACATGCCTATAGTCCCAGATACTTGGGAGGCTGAGGCAGAAGAATCACCTGAGTCCAGGAGGTCAAGGATGTGGTGAGCCATAATTGTGCCACTGCACTCCAACCTGGATGACAGAGTGAGATCCCAATGCAAAAAAAAAAAAAAAAGACACACATATACACTGTGAAGATAAAGGCAGACCACCAGAAGCTAGGAAAAAGAAGAGTGGAGCAGATTCCTCCTCATCGCACTCAGAAGGACCCAACCTTGTTTGCTTTACTTCGAACTTATAACCTTCCAGACTGTGAGAAAATAAATTTTTTTTGTTTAATTTTGGGGTACTTTATTCCAGCAGCCCTAGCAAACCAGTGCAGACACGTTTATATTTATGTCTGTTGGTCAAGACCAGACTGCCTCCTCATCTTTCCTTCCCGGCACATCAGCTCCCAAATGGATCAAAGCCATGCTGGGAACACAGGCTTAAAGTTTCTACTACCCACACCCCAAAACACTGAGCAGGATGGAAACGCCTGCTCTGAACCAACTGATCACAGCCAATCATGACAGATTTGAGGTCACCCTGCCTGACCCATTCCTAAGTCAAGTTCATCAGCAGCTATATTAGCTAAGATCCAATACACTTCTCATTTATAATGGCACAAATACTATAGAAAATTCAGAAAAGTGGGGAAAATGTTTATCGTTTGTCTCAACATTCAGTGGGTGACGAAATCAGAGAAACAAATACATTATATACCTAGATACCTGGAATCTGACAAATAAACATTTAGAAACTTTATTTTATCCCTTGATTGCTAAAAATTCGAAATAAAGAAAGAATCTTACCATGTGCCCGATTTGTTAAGTGCAACATTAGTTACTGGCAATATATGAGCTCTGAGAACCTTCAATGGGGAAAAAAGACACATTTTTTTAGACTCAACCACAATTAAGTTTAATTCATTAATTTTAACTTCAAACCAACAAAGACAATAGATGTTGCCTTAATTATACATTATAAATTAATACTATTTAATACCCAGATGAGAAAAAATACATTGTATCCTCTATTATTAAGACAAACAATATATTTAGTAGTTGCAGATAATTACAAAAACATAATTTTCTCTTATGTTTTCCATCAATTTGCCTTTAAAGTAAATTATGATTATTAAACAAGATACCAAATAGCACTAATTGGAACATTTTCTTTTACATATTGCACATGGTTTTATATATGAGCAATGTGTATAGGAAATACAATAAATGTGTTTCGAATAAGAAACCTGACAATGAAAAATAAAATAAAAATGACCATGCATTACTACTTTTTGAATCCTAAAGCTTCTTTAAGAGCCAGGATATATTTACCTTTCAATCCCTATAATGTCTGGCATAAAGTGAAAATTTAAGGAAAATTATTTATCAAGTGTACAAGGGAGAGATTTCCCTCCCCCCCAATGGAATTATTTCCTGGAGAGTGGGCCTCTTGTAGTACTGGTTTCCCCTGTCAGGTTAGTGTTCTAGTAACGCATCAGCATCAGTGTACCAGCTAGCACTGTTATGAGAAGCTGCATTCAGCATCAGTAAAATTTTTTGGAGATTCTTTCAACACGTTTGCCCATTTCATAATGCGTGATTTATGAGCGCACCCGCCCACACCATGCTGAGTATTCAGCAGTTTTTGACCAAAGACAGCATTACTCCCATGCCCCAACCCTCCCTATTCACCCAGTCTCACCCAGAGTGACTTTTTCTTGTTTCCCTAGATGAGAAAAGTCCTCAAAGGGAAACATTTTGCAGATGTGGAAGATGTGAAACAAAAATGACAGAATTACTAAAAGGTATCAAAATTGATGAGTTCAAAAACTGTTTTGAGCAGTGTAAAAGCATTTTGATGGGTGTATTTCATCAGAGAGTACTTTGAAGGTGACTGAAGTTTAAACATGTAATAATAAATAGACAATTTTTAGCAAATAAGTTTCAGGTTTTGTGGTTCCCCTTATATTACATAAATTGGATAATATTAATAGAGTGATTTGCTAGGCTGGGACAAAGTTAGTTTTATCTACTGTCAGAATTTAATTATTAATAGTATCTATCCATTTTCACTATCAAAAATGCTCCTTTTGAAGGATATAGAGCTCATATTTGAAGTCAAACAGTGCCACCTCCTGGAAAAAGAGATATTATAGACTATAACATCCTATTCCAGAAACTTGAAAGGATGACTACCAGAGTGCCTGGATATTTTGTATCAGGTAGAACAGGCCAGCACATTACTAGTAAATATATTTCATTACCATATTTAAATTATAAAAAATTATATAACAGCCGGGCTCGGTGGCTCAGTCTGTAATCCCGCGCCTTTGGGAGCCTGAGGTGAGTGGATTGCCTGAGTCTGTGGGTTCAAGACCCGCCTGGGCAGCGAGACCTCATCTCTACAATAAACTTTTTAAAAAATCAGCCGGGCGTGGTAGCACATGCCTGTAATTCCGGCTACTCGTAAGGCTGAGGCGGAAGGATTGCCGGAGCCCAGCAGGCGAGGCTGCGGTGGCCGGAAGCAGCCACTGCACTCCAGTCTGGGCGACCGAGTGAGACTCCAACTCAAAAAAAAAAAAAAAAATTATATCAGTGTAATATTAAGCAATTCTAGAACAAGCTATTAAATATTTTAAATAATGAAGAAATATGTTTTCCTCGAAATACTAAATGACTACAGTTGTTGCATTTTCTAATTTAATCAAGAAACTATAAAAATAAGCATACAGTACATTAAAATTGTGTAAGCCATGTAAATAAATAATTTTTTGAAATGTGGTTTATTTCACATAGAAGCAGAAAATACAAAATGTTAGTATACTATATAACACTTCTTTAATATTACTTTGGCTAGAAAAAAGTTATAATTATTCAATAACTTAAAGTTACTTTAATGGTAATAACCCTTTACATTTATCATTATAAAGAAAGCTAAACTGACTAAAAGTCTTAATGGACCACTCAAAAAATAAATGTTCTAAATCTCATTCATTCATTTAGCAAAAAGTTATTGAGACAGTCTTAGCAATCAGATGTGAGGTACCAAAATAAATTATTGACAAACACTTTTCATGGAAAAGTATTTTTAGGGAAAAAGAAATGAATAAAACATCAATTGTTCCACTAAAACTTATCTATCTAATATTTTAAAAACACATTACCTTAAAGAGATAGAATTTGTGATTGCTGTGCTGGCCAAGTTTCTCTTGTAATCTCTGTATTAAAAGCTTGACTTGCTCTGTTCGTGAAGCTGTGATTAGAGATTCTGCTTTCTGGATTTCTTCCACTAAAGCACTGACATTGGTACTGAAATTCACCCAAAATAATTTTATTTTATATTAAAAAATGCACATATATTTATTACATGAATAACTGCATTGTCTTATGAAACACAACATTTAGAAAATATTGAAAACATATCATCTTTCCCAAGAGATGTCTGAAGAAAAATATTACACAAATCAGTAAACAGCATGGTAACAGGTAAGCAGGAAGCTTGGATTTTCTAGAACGTATTTTTCCACTGCTATGACTTATCTCATGGAAGGTCTAGCACATACTGGTTCTGAACATGAGCTTTTTTCCTTTCTGTTAAATGGACATGTGTTGTATAATGTTCCTGATCCTATACTTTTCACTTTGCATATGTTCTCTTATTGAATCCTATAACAATCCACTAAAGTAATTATTTTGGCATGATTATTTCAGAGGTGAAGAAACTGGGGTTCAGAGAGGTTACATTTAAAATATTTTTAGTAAAACAGATAATACTTCTCCATAAATGTAAAGACTGATAATAATTATTAATATTTATTATGGACTATTATAAAATAATCATAATATGACTTCCCTGAAAGAGAACTGGTCTGAAAAAAATGTACAAATAGAATCAAATTTTCCCCAGTAGTCAAATAACCCATAAAAAATCTGGAAAATGTTGCTGGTCCAGAATAATATTTGTTCCAAAAAATATTAATGTATATATACCACAAAGCATCAAAAATAGAGCCATTTGACAAATCATGTCACAAAATGTCTGGAAGACACGCTATATAGGTCCCCTTATCTGAAAAGAATTCAAGTCCAGCCACGGGGGAGGAGCTTTGTCAACTGACAGCCTCCAGTTGCTGCTCCTTCAGACCTTGGCATTGGAGGCCATGGCAGGCTCTTCTTGGGTGGCCTCAGCCCACAGCTGAGCAAGGCACGGTGCAAGGGCCCGGCCATTTGTGCCCTGTGAGGGGCCCCTCAAATTGGTAAGCTTTGCTTCTAAACTCCCCCTTGGATTAGCAGAGATTCTGTCCTCTTATCTATATCACGGTGGTCAGTTGACTCCTTCTGCCCAATCCTGCTTCAAACTCTGGACTGTCACAAGTGCCACTGCCCAATAAACCTTTTATTCCCCCACTTATGCCTCACATCTGCTTCCCAGAAACATGGTCTCTGATAAGCATCTCCCTCTTCATCTCATAAACCAACATTCCCTAAGCTTCAATGTTGTGCAAGGCACTGAGCTAGTGGCCTGCTCATTCGATAAGCATGTATTGAGTGGCTACTATTGGTTAGGCACTGGGAGTGTAAGAGATGTGTCACAAGCTCTCAAGAAATACAATCTATTAGACCAGGAATGAATATTTCAAATGGAAATGGATCCAAAACTGTTTATGACAATGACTTGGATAAACTCCACGATATGCAATGTCAAAAGAGTTATACTCTCATAAGAATAAAAAAGACAAAAAATACCTCTTTGAAAAGTTTTCAGCAACTGATATAAAAACAGACTCTCTAGCAAGATCCAAATTAACCAGATACTAATCCAGACACCTCAAACCTGTCGCATTCTCATTGCTATTCTTATACAATAACTCCAGTATGTTGTCTATAATGCAAGTGTTTTTTTGTTTTTTGTTTTTTAACCAGAAATAAGATCCATCCTGGTTTTCGGAGATTTTTATTTATTTATTTTCCCACATCACCCAAAGATTATGGTTATGAGTGGCAACATCCTCCATCTTCTCAGAAAAAGAATAATAATACAATTGATTGACGATGACTAACATGAAGAACTTAAAAGTGATAAAAGCACCTGTACTCACAGCCCCACAAGCCCTTTTTGATATGACCTAACAGTCCATACATTTTAAACATAAAATCTGTGTTTCTGCTGAATGCCTAGCTCTAAGTTTTTCTCTCATATAGACGTTTATCTGTACCACTTGTGTGATGTTCTATGTTGTACAAATTGCTTCTCAAACTAAACAATAAACCCATTGAGCATAAGGATCATTATTAGTAGTTTTATAGCCTCTTACAGAGTATAACTTAGAGCTCTGCATGTTAGAGGTGTACATACATGAATGTCTAACAAGCAACTTTCTGCATGCCAGCAGGCCACACAAATCAGTGCCATGTTCCATTTACAAAAATAGTCAAGTTTGGCTTGATCTTTGGCCTCACTTTCCCTGGAAATAGATTCAACAAGAATTGCTTTAGATTAAATACAATTCAATGACACTATCTGCGCCACTATTTATTCTTTGATTTTTTAAAAAGTACCTATTTGAGTCAAGCGTTGTGGACTGTGCCTGTAATCCTCACACTTTGGGAGGTTGAGGCAGGAGGATTGCTTCAGCCTAGGAGTTCGAGATCAGCCTGAGCAACATAGCAAGACCTCACCTTGACAAAAAATCAAAAAATTACCCAGCCTGTAGGTCCCAGTTACTAAGGAGGCTGAGGCAGAAGGATTGCCTTCATCCTGGAGGTCAAGACTACGGTGACCTATGATTGTGCCACTGCAAACCAGTCTGGACAACAGAGTGAGACTCTGATTCAAAAACACAAAATAACCACCACAAAAAAAAGACTGAGTACCTTTTCTGTACCAAGCACTGAGAATAAAACTTGGCCTCTACTAAGACCACCATCCCCCAAGCTGTGCCCCATCCTCACCTAAGACAAATGCCCTCTGAAATGCCAAACCTCACGAGCAGCAGCAGCCAAGATTAAGACAGCCCCTCTCTCACCAGCCATGGGGCCCTTTGGACTTGTTTTAAAACTAGAAAGCAGCCCATCTACATATAAGAATGATCCCTTTGCTGACAGTCTCAGGCCACAAGTCTAAAATACAGTATTTTTGTCCTATTTGTTAAATTTTCATCCACAGAGAATCTCTCCACCTTATCTGACTTTAGGCTCCCATAGGTATTATCACTACCCTGACTCTGCCTCTTGAAGTGGCATTTTTGCTTGAGATTTCCTAAAGAGAATAAACTCTGGGCATTATGTCCTCACAAGGGATTTCCTCTGGGCTCACATCAAGTTTAAAGATAGAGACGAGGTCTCCCACCTCTGACCCAAGACAATTAATGAGGAGAAATGTATGCAGTCTGCCCTATGAAATATATGTGAAGAAAATAACAGGCTCAGTAATATTATGAAAACTCAATGACAAGTACTTCTCAAAAACATTCAGGTCATAAAAAATAAGGAAGTCTAAGAAACAGTCACAGCCAAGAGATGCCTGAGGAAGCATGTCAACTAAATGCCTTGCGGGATCCTGGATGGGATCTAGAATAGAAGAAGGTAACTAAGGGAAAACTATTAAAAACTGAGTAAAGTATGAGTTTTAGTGAATAATCATTATTGATACTGGTTCATTCATCATGGCAAATGTATCATACTAATCTAAGATATTAACATCAGCGGAAACTGGATGTGGGGGTCTATAGGAATTCTGCCTATGCCAGGGTTTTCTGATAAAAAATTTTGGATATAAGATACTTGTTTTATTATAGAGCTAACTTACCTGGGACTGAGATCAAGCAAATCTATGGACTTGGTCTTCAATTCTCCCCTTTTTTCATATTCCAACATAATTCCTATAAAAATAAACAACCATGTGATAAAACACGTACGATGACTAACTATGCAATTAATCAACTTTGCCATCATTTTTTCATGCTTATTTTTAGTTTTATCTATATTTTTAAAAGATGTGGGGTACAATTCAGGATTAGGTATACAAGTGGACATCATACAGGTAAAGTCTGGGCCCCCTTTAGTCCCCACTTTGCCTGGTTTGAGATCAGGTACCCTAATTGATATTGTGCCTCCCCCAACCCCATCACAGTGGTATCTGCTACTGCCAACCCCTTTCTTACATTATTATGGTAAATATTCAGGATCCACCTATGAGTGATCATGTTTATTTTTTAAATTTTTAGCAAAAGATATTCAATGATGTCTGGTTCCAAAACAAGATTGCGTAGACTCACTACTCTTTTCCTCTATGTACAACTAAATGTCCTTGAAATTATTCAATAGGCAATGATAAAATAACTAAAAGTTGGCTAGAAGGGGATAAACTGGCTAGAGAGTTCAAAACTTGAGAAATGACATGCCAAGATCCCTGGATTTTTTTATTTCCCACATTCCCTCAAATTAGGACCAAAGAGTTCTACAACCTAGAACCACAAAAGGCATAGACCAAAAAAAAAAAAAAAAAAAAGTTTGCTCCTTGTGACCAAAAGACCAGGAAAAGGAAAGTTGAACAAAGAACTAATGGGAAGCCCTAAACTCTGCTCCACAACTGGGGCACCTGCAAGTAGTCCAAGACACCAGTGGAATCCCTGGGCTGTCCCACTCCCCACTGCCCATGCTGGGTCCCCCCAGCGGCAGTTTGATCTGCCTATAGCAGCAGCTACAGAAAATCCTCACAACTTCTAGACACGTGCTCTACCACCAGGGCCTCAGTGGGCCATCTAAACTGCCTGTAGCAACATCAGTAAGGTCTAGGACCTCCTGGACCCCCCTCTACAACCAGGCTACTGGCAGATGATCACATCCATCTGCAAAAGGAACAGCCATGAAGTCCTGGGATGTTTCAGATCCCCTCCACAGCCAGGCATTGAAGCATCATCAACAAAACCCCATGTCTCCCTACCTTCCAACCAGTAGTACAACCAGGCCTAATGGTGGCCCAGAAGATCAGCAGCGATGGCAGATATACCAGAGAAATACCTTCTGCCCTCAAAGGCGACATCAGCAGGGACTGAGTAGGCATTTAGCAGCACCAGAAAAACAAAACAGACCAAAATAATATTGCACAGGCTTAGAAAACTAAGCCACCACTAGAACTAAATAAAGCCCAGAACCTATGTGCTAAATCTAAACAGATCTAACTAAAGTAGAAGCTTAAGATGGGATCAAGACTCCCCATAATAATCAAAATGTTCAAGATACAATAATAAATCACCCATTATACTGAGAACAATCAACAAACATCAATACCAAGATGAATCACAGGTTGAAATCATCTGACAAGGATTTTAAAGATGTCATAAAAATACTTCAATAAGCAACTACAAATCCATGTGAACAAATGGAAAAGTCTCAAAAAATAAATTTATTAAAATAAACTAAATGGGAATTATAGAACAGAAAAATAAAATAACCAAAGTTAAAAAGCTTACTAAACAGGTTCAGTTGTAGACAGGACAGAGGTTAAAATTAGTAAACATAAAGACAGAAAAATAGAATATACTGCACTTGAACAGCACAGATAGTAGATGGAAAGAAAAAACTGAACAGAGCCTCTTAGTCACTTTACTGTACTTCTATGAATAATGACCAGGCTTTCTACAAAGATTTGGTCTCAAGACCACCTTACACTCTTAAAAATTATTGAGGACACTGAATTTTGTTTTTATATTTTCCATATTAAAAACTAAAATTGGGAAATTTAAAAAATAACAGTACTCCATAGCATGTCAACATAAATAACATATACTTGTTATTAAAATAACTATATCCACTCCCCCAAAACTAAGAAGAATAGCACTATTTCACACTCTTAGCAAATCACTTTAATATCTGGCTTAAAGACAACTGAATTCTCATCTCTGCTTCTGCATTTAAGCTGTTGCTGTCTGTTGCTTTGGTTAAAGTATAAGAAAAAAATCTAGCCATACACTGACATGTAAATGGAAACTGAAAGAATTTTTTAGTAGTCTTTTCAGATAATAAGTAATTTGTTAACAATTGGTTGTAATTGATAGAATCAGAAACCGTATCGGTGAACTCTTCCCTACATTGTTACATTAAAAATCCGTTGAACTATCTCACACATTAAATGAATCTTTTATTCATGCATGATCATGCACTGGACATTAGAAAAATGTTGGTTTACTGTGTTATGCAATCTTCTAAATGCTGACATATGTCCTCATACAATATCAAAGAATCACATCTGCTACTATCACTGCCAATATCTATCACAAGAAAATTCTTACTGTTGGTAAGCTGTCAAGCTCACAGTGGCAGGTAAAAGTCTTCAGAAATTATAATTGCTTGAGAATTGAAATTTATCACCGGAAAGAAATACTGACAGTTTCGCTTGAAATTTTCAAACTCGCTTAGTCCATTTTCAAGAAAATGTCTGCCAAATGTCCAAATCTGAAAATCATGTTTGTTTCTCAGTCAGTCTTTCAAGTAAAAATGTTCTTCTGTGAAAAAAAAAGTTAGCTCATCTCGCAACTCAAGCAACCATGTGTTTTCCTTAAGACAACTGTCAGACTTCACGGTGCAAAAGTGTTTTTTAGTACTTCCTATTTCATCACCCAGAATACTCAAACTTCACATATTCGTGTGTCACTATTATACTACATTAATAATTTTTACTGTTCATCAAGGAAATTCTCAAATGAAACCGGGTTGCTTGTTTTTTCCTGCCGTGTGTATCAGTAAAAAAAGACAAGGACCACCATTAGCGTTTGGTGTCACTGCCTTGATTTGTAGCGAGGCATCAGCATTTCCCCTTCCATTGCTTTTGCACCATTAGTGACGATGTCAATACAGTGAAAAAAGCAAATAACTTATTGTTATTACAAAAAAAATAGGTATGGCCTTGAGACTCTGATGAAAGTGATTGAGGGTGTCCTTACACTTAGAGAATCACTGCTGGAGACCATACTTTGATATAACAGATATAATTCCAGCAGTATTTCAGATCAGGGGAAAATAGAAAATGCTATCAAAGCATTGTATTTACTTTTCAAAAGCACTGAGCCATTGAGAGATAATGGGGTAGAGTTGAAAAGCACGTACTTGATATCAGATAGATTCAAATTTGAGTTCATCCTCAACCCCTTACTCATGTCATGATACTAGCAAAGCCATCTCTTCAAACCTTAGTTTTCTCATCTATGAACAATACTTACAAGTTTGTTGACCGAGACTAAAAAAGATGTATATAAAGCACCTGGCATAAAGAAAGTCTTAACGAATAGTGTTTATTATCTAGCTATTAGCCAAATGCTACCTTGTGGCATATCCTACATGGTCACCTTGTAATACTTAAGTTGTTTTTCGACTTTCTCCAGTGAGATTATACCATCTTTGAAAGCATAAACATATCCATATCGAAAGCTTCCTTATAGTCTCAGTAGGATTCTCCTTAGGGCATGTCATGATGATTTATGCAAAGCAGCCACGTGATTTGACCAGGTTCAAGTACAAGTAACACTGTTTTACACCTCTCTTCCTTTCATTTCTCCATCAACAGTGCCTGTCCTTTTCCAGTGTCTTCATGATCTTTCAAAATGTTCTAGCGTGTGTCGACTACAAGAGCTAACTGGTAGACGATTGGATGAATGGTCACAGATTGCTTAATGCAATTGACATTCTCTGTCCTTATGACTTTTTAGAAAACAAAAAAAGAAGACACTATGAACAATATATCTTCCTTCCTCAAATACATCCTCACTAAGCTTTATGAAATATCTTCCTGTCCACACCTGTCATCCCAGCGCTTTGGGAGGCGGAGGCCAGAGGATTGTTGCCTAGGCCCATGGGACTGAGACCAGCCTGGGCAACATGGCAAGACCTCGTTTCTACAATAACTCCAAAAATTAGATGGGCGTGTTGGCACATGCCCACAGTTATGGCTACTTGGAAGGCTGTGGTGGAAAGATCACCTGAACCCAGCAAGTCGAGGCTGTGGTAGACGTGAGCAGCGTGTCACTGCACTCCAGTCTGGGCAATGGAGTGAGACTCCAACTCAAAAAAAAACAATGAAAAATATTCCTTTTTCTCTTTTTCCAATCACTTTATTATTTTTTCATTCTCCTTTATTGGTTCTTCTGCTTGACCTTTAAACACTGGTTGTCTTTAGGGTTCAGGTCTAGAGATTCTTGTCCTAGCACTTTACGTTCTTTCCCTGCAAAATTCTTCCATACCCATGGTTTTAGTTACCCATCAGTATGACAACTACTAATTGTAGCTCTCCAGTCTAGACGTCATTTGAGTTCCAGACAGGTAGATGTTTCCTCTGTGCCTCATGAAAGTTCAGAATCTTCCCTTTCAGTTCTACTTCTCCAGAGTTTCTTTCTCAGTGTCAGACATTACCACTCAGATGCACAGCCCCAATCTTTAGGAAGGAATCCATCTCAACATAGTTTCACTGCACTGATGTGGAGAAACCTAAACAGGTAACCCAAGCGACTGCTGCATAATGAAGTGCCAGATTTTAAAATAAAAAATCATTTAAAATGCTTTTAATGACTCAATAAACTTCCCAGAACACTATAAGACAGCAGGCAAACTATAGTGAAGAGGCAAGTTAGGAATAGTTTTGTTTTGTTTATCCCCTCACGAGGTAGTTCATTTGTGTAAGACTTGAAACCAAATTCCTGTCTCAAAAGTAAACTTAAAAGAAAATTAGGGGCTGGGCTCAGTGGCTCAGCCTGTAATCCCAGCACTTTGGGAGGCCGAGGCGAGTGAATTGCCTGAGCCCATGGGTTCAAGACCAACCCAGGCAACTTGGCAAGACCTCGTCTCTACAATAAAATTAAAAATTTGGCTGGGCTCGGTGGCTCAGCCT